TTAAGCAGGAAATCATTTTGTTATTTATTCTATGTTGGATTAGTAATCCTTGTGCTGGGAAGGGGATTTTTAAAGTCGTTCTAATTTGCATGGAAAAGCTGATCACAAACTGCTGTGAGTGAAATCAATGTACCTGTTCTGTAGGCATCTCAGGAGGAGGGTGATAATGGGAGGATGTTGTGGGAAAACAGAGAGGCCGTGATACCGAGGCTATCTTAGGAATTACCCTGGGGAGGGAGAAGAGGAGTCTTATACCTTAGTTTAGGTAAGGGAGGGGGTCGGGTTGTGTGACTATACATTTTCCTTTGGAGTTTGCAAGGTTGTACTTAGCAAAACCAGATTTTCAAAGAACAAATGGTCTCCAGGATATGCCTAACAAGCAGGGTTATAAACTGATAACTTCACAAAGAGAGGATTTGGGTTAGGGTTGTGAATTGGTTACTATCTTGCATTACTAGGAAAGCTGTCTTTGGCTGTTTCGTTTTCTCAAGCAAAACCTGTCTAGCACGTTTTCGGAGTTTGCAGATTGATCTTTTTTTTTTTTGAATCAGAGTTTCACTCTGTCACCCAGACTGGAGAGCAGTGGCCGCTCCTGGTACTACAGCCTCAACCTGCTGGGCTCTGGCGATCCTTCCGCCTCAGCCTTCCAAGGAGCTGGAACTACAGGAGCTGGAACTACAAATTACCACACCCAGCTAATTTTTGATTAATTGTAGAAATGAGATCTCGTCAAGTTGCCCAGGTGGGTCTCGAACCTGCAGGCTCAGGCAATTCACTCACCTTAGTCTCCCAAAGTGCTGGGATTACAGGCTGAGCCACCGAGCCCGGCTGCAGATTGATCTTTAAAAGGAATACTTTAAACTGTTATCAGCCCCTCTCTACCACATGGGGTAGATGTGGCTCAGGAAGCTTCTTTCTTTTTTTGAGTTGGAGTCTCACTCTTTCACCCAGGCTGGAGTGCAGTGGCATGCTCATGGTCACTGCAGCCTCAACCTGCTAGACTCAGGTGATTCTTCTGCCTCAGCCTTTCAAGTTGCTGGAATGACAGGTGTGTGCCACCGTACCTGGCTAATTTTTTGATTTGTTGTAGAGATGAGATCTCACCAAGTTGCCCGGGCTGGTCTTAAATCTGTGGATTCAGTGAGTCCTCTCACCTGGGCCTCCCAAAGTGCTGGGATTATAGGCGTGTTTCTTACCCCACCATAGAGAGACTGAATTGAGAACTTGAAGAGTTTAAGTATGAAAGGTTTTAAAAGCATAATGTTATAACACAGGATTACAGTCATTATTGCAAAAGTTACTTTTTTTTTTGCAAGTGATAGTCCAAAATTTTTGAAAAGTTAAAAAATACCTCGCTTTTTTTTTTTTGAGTTGGAGTCTCGCTCTTTTGCCCAGTCTGGAGTGCAGTGGCTGCTCCTGGCCACCACAGCCTCGACCTGCTGGGCTCTGGTAATCCTTCCACCTCAGCCTTCCAAGTAGCCAGAATTACAGGCATGTGCTACCATGCCCAGCTAATTTTTGATTTATTGTAGAGATAAGGTCTCACCAAGTTGCCCAGGTGGGTCTCGAACCCCACGGCTCAGGCAATCCACCCATCTCAGCCTCCCAAAGTGCTGGGATTACAGGCTGAGCTACCGAGGCCGGCCTATACCTCGCTTTTTGTAACAAAGACAGCAGGGGGCACCAACTGAATTTTGTCTCTTTCTCCCTCTGTTGTTTATAGGAGAAAATTCTTTTGGAGATTGTTAATTGAGAGGCTCATGTTCTGGTCTCTGAGTAGCATTTTGGCTTAGCATTAGTGTAATTAATACTAATGGTAAATTTATAGAAACAGTTTGTAGCCTTGAGTGTTCATAGAAGAACTTTTCTGTATTTGTTTCCACAAACCATCTTTGACATAGTCATATCATTTTTTGACATGCTTGAACCTTCTATTTTTCTCCTACACTTTTCTTCCTTTAAATAACCAACCATTCTATTATAGAAAAAGTATACCATACAAGATCCTTTCCTATACAAAATTATTTCTCTTTCCTTTATCCTTCCTCACCAAAAACATACTTTTATATCAACAACTTTCTTTACATTTATTCTTTGCTTTCTGGTTTCTATCTTTTCCTTTTTAGACCATTTGTACATTTATACTTTGAATAACGTTTAGTACCTTTTGATTAAGATAAGGCTATAATTCCAACGTGAATGGCCAGGACCAAACGGCTGGCACCTGTGTTAATAAAGACATCAATTTGGGTTCCAGCGCCCTAATATTCACCTGGGGGGTTGCTGGGGTGAGGGTGAGCCACTCTCAGGCACTTTAGCAGATTTCTAGGCCTCTGCAATGAGGCAGGTGCCCTTCTGAAAATGCAGAAAAAACAGAAAAAGGGGAAATAAATACTTGTCTCTAAAATAAATAAAAAATGAGCCAGGTAGTGCATGCCGGTAGTTCTGGCTACTTGGAAGGCTGAGGTGGAAGGATCACAAGAGCCCAGCAAGTCGACTTGGGGGTGGCTGTGAGAGGATTGCTTGAGCCAATGGCTTCGAAACCAGTCTGGGCAACTTGGTGAGACCTCATCTCTACAGTAAAAAAAAAAAAAGCTGAGTGTGGTGGCATGTGCTTGTAGTTCCAGCTACTTGGAAGACTGAGGTAGAAGGATCACCTGAGTTCAGCAGGTCGAGGCTGCGGTGCCTATGAGCGTACCACTGCACACCAGCCTGGGTGACAGAGTGAGACTCCAAGTTTAAAAAAAAAAAGAATGAGTAGCAGAGAAAAGATAGTCCAGCACCATATCTCTCTCCACAGAAAAACAAGGGTTTAAAAGAGGAAGAGCGAAGAGAGTGGCAGATCTCTGGGAGAGGAGAATGAGAGAGCAACAGATCTCAGTGGGACCTCCAAAAGTGTTAGGGTCACATTCTTCACCTTCTAAGTCAGTTTAGAAAGAACTGTCCCCCACTCCTTTTGATTAGGTTTCTCAGCCTCCACCATCCCCAGGTGATCTGATCACCCTGGCCTGCCTTCAGCTAAGAATGCTGTTACTTCAGCTTAGCCAGTGGAAGGGTAAACTGAGGCAAGGTGGACCTGGGCTGGTGCCAGTGCTGATGCTGCAGGAGTAATGCAAGATTGCAACCAAGTAAGAAGTAGAAGGAAGTAAAAGTGTATTATTCACCTATCACGGATTGGAAAGGGGGCTAACACTCAGAGGCAAGTGTGATGTGGCAGGCTACAGGCCAGGAGTACTTAAGAGCTCTAAAGCAAGCCCCTAAAAAGACCTTAGACCTGGAGGAGATCTGGGCCAAACGAAATGTCCAAAGTTGTATTTTTCAGTTTCTATAGCTGTCACATGAATCTCATCTTTTTTTTTTTTTTTGAGTTGGAGTCTCACTCTGTCACCCAGTCTAGAGTGCAGTGGTATGCTCATTGCCACCATTGCTTGACCTGCTGGGCTCAGGCAATCCTTCTGCCTCAGGCTTCCAAGTAGCCAAAACTACTATGCCCAGCTCAGGCCACCATGCCCAGCTAATTTTTTGATTTATTGTAGACACAAGGTCTCACCATGTTGCCCAGGCTGGTCTCAAACCCCTGGGCTCAGGCAATCCTCTCTCCTCAGCCTCTCAAGGTGCTGGGATTACAGGCATGAGCCACCAAGCCAGGCTAACTCCTTCTTCTAAGGGAAATTTAAGCACATTTAGACCTGTTTCTACTGGGGTGGGAAAGGGAGGGATGATTCTTAACCCTCTCCAGGAGTACAGGAAGACTCCTCCATAGGTCTGCAGGGATGGTTCCTCTGCCCACCCTGAGCCTTGACAAAGAGTGCGAATTTTAATAAGAAATAATCCATCACTTTCTTTCTTTTCATAACCTTTTTAAAAGGAGAAATAGGCCAGGTGCAGTGGCTCACACCTATAATCCTCGCACTTTGGGAGGCCTAGGTGAGAGGATTGCCTGAGCCCATGGGTTCAAGACCAACCTGGGCAACTTGGCAATACTCCATCTTTACAATAAATCAAAAAATTAGCTGGGTGTGGTATCACATGCCTATAATTCCAGCTACTTAGAAGGCTGAAGTGGAAGGATCTCCTGAGCCCAGCAGGTCGAGGCTGTGGTGGCCATGAGCGTGCCACTGTACTCCAGCTTGGACAACACAGTAAGACTGACTCAAAAAAAAAAAAAAGAGGAATACAATTGTTTTTACCTTTTAGTTTATCTGTAGAAGGAGAGTGAGGATCTAGAATTCCCCTGGAGGAAGAGGGGCCATTCCTTCCCTACTGGCACCCCTGTTGGGACACACTCCCAAACATGCATGTGTTTAGGCACACACGTATCCTTGAAACTCCCCATGCTCACACAGATGCAACATGCTGCCCCCTCACACCCATGCATGCAGGCATAATACATATAGCACACACGTACACACACACACGTCCCTATCTGGCTTTCATCTCTGAGGCTCCAGATGTAGGAAAAAACCTGAAGAGGAGATAGGAAAACCCAAGGGAGAAGTATGGCTGCAGAGGGGAGGAGTCTATTAGGAGAAGCGGCCACACCTCCTAGGAGATCAGGGAATTGTCTTTCCTGATGCAACTCTGTCTCACATTCTAGATTTATCTCCTTGGAACCAGGAATTTATTTTTCAATAATTTAACTAGATGGACTCCAGGCTTATATCTTCCTAGAAGTTGAATTTCTGTGGAGACTGGAGCTGAAAGTAGGAATTCTGTGTGACCCTTCTGGTTTCTGGACTCTCCTGCCTTCAGTGATAAGATGCAGTGATAAGGGAGGAATGAGATACATGCTTGGGCTTCAGATTTGTATGAAGAAAAAGTTTATTAGAGCAGGGGACCAAAACCAAACCAAAACAAAACAAAACAGTCTTGTAGGGGAATCAGTGCAAGAAAGAACCACATTCCAAAATCCCCTGAACACAAGGAATTCTCTCCCTTTTTCTTCCTTATCACTAGTCACAAAACTGTAGGATTTGTTTAATCAGATATTTCTGGTCTCTTTACACTCTTGGAGTCAATACACTTCCTTTGAAGCACCCTCCAAAGGGTGTGTGAAAGTATGTGATGGCTACATTTGTCCTCCTGTGGCTGTCGAGATGTGGATTTATTACTATTGACTTACTCGTCCTCTTGGCGATCATAGAGCTTCTCAACCGTGTGTGTCCTCTGGTGTCTGAGGAGATTTGAGTTGAGGCTAAAGCTCCGCCCACACTCTCTGCAGACATGGGGCTTCTCCCCCGTGTGTGTCCTCTGGTGTCTGAGGAGATGTGACTTCTGGCTAAAGCTCCGTCCACACTCTCTGCAGACGTGGGGCTTCTCCCCCGTGTGTGTCCTCTGGTGTCTGAGGAGTTTTGACTTGTGGCTGAAGCTCCACCCACACTCCCTGCAGACATGGGGCTTTCCCCTGGTGTGTCCTCTGGTGTCTGGGCAGGTTTGACTTAAGGCTAAAGCTCCGTCCATACTCCGTGCAGACATAGGACTTCCCTCCTGTGTGTGTCCTCTGGTTTCTGAGGAGGTGTGATATTCCGATAAAGCTCTGCCTGCACTCCCTGCAGACAAAGGGCTTCTCCCCTGCGTGTGTGTCCTCTGGTGTGTGGGGAGGTTTGACTGAAGGGTAAAGCCTCGCCCACACTCCCTGCTGACAAAGGGCTTCTCCCCTGTGTGTGTTCTCTGGTGTGTGATGACATTTGACTCATCACTGAGGCCTTGATCACACTCTCCATACTTGACCCTTGCAATTCTTGAGATTCCTACCCCCACGTATAATTTGCCTGTGTCCCCTAGATGCACTTTCTGGCTTGTGCTGGGCTCTTCCTTCATCATTCTTTCCTTTTCTCTGGAGCTCTCTGTTTGTTCTGTGGGTGGGTTGGACAAGGACCTTGAACTCTCCCTCTGCTGTGTCCTTTTATGCATGGGTTTGGACCTTTCTTTGGCCTCCTGACATTTAGATTTGTCATTCCAGCTGTGTGGATCAGACTGTTGCTGCTCCTGATTCAGATCCTCTGGACAGGGATTCTCTGGTTGGACGTATTTTCTTGCAGATGTTCCTGGGAAGATCTGAGGTGGATGATTGCATTTCACATGTTGACTGAGGAATTTCTGACTTGAGAGGGCCAGAGAGCATGAGGAACATGGGTGGATCTTTGGCTTTGGTTCTGCTGAAAGAGGAAGTTTTGGTTAAGGTAGATGTAGACAAGGTTGTCTGGGTCATCTGTTTCATTGTGTGGTTAGGCTTGCCCCACTAATCTTTCATGGGTTAACAGTGCAAGCTGTCTCCCACCAACTGCTGAATGGACGTTTACAGTCCATTTCTCCACTTCACTACATCTTTCAAAATCCAGAAAGTCCACATCTGGACCTTTTCTGCATATCGGCCATACCAGGGACCCTCAAGGAGCATCAAAGGTGACTTCCCTCCTTACATAGGTGGAACTGCAGTGATATTTCCCCCACACACTACAAGTGTGTTATCAAACCTTCCCAGACCACCCTTTGCCCCATCCCCCTCCTCTCACACCGATCCCTGGGCACTTTTCCTGATATGTAGTTATTTTATTCTATTGAGAAATAACACTCTTGATGACTTAGGTCATCAAGGGGTCGTTCTTAGTGACTTTTTCTATGAGGGCAAAGGGAGCTATTAAATTAGGGGAGAGAGAGAGGTGAGAATGAATGATAATGAATAAACACAATCAGATCCACAAAAGCGGAAGCCAGTGCGGGGTCATGATTAAAGAGATCATATGTGAGTAAATAGGAATTGGAGCCTCCTCATTCAAAAAGTCATATTTAGTTGGCTGTCCATTTGGAAGTGGGATTCAGGTTGGCCAATGCAGAGTGGTCCAGGTCCTGCTGACTAAAAAGACTCTGGGTACTGCTGCCCAAGCTGTGTCATGGATTGCTTTTCTTTCAGGGTTTTACAAATCATAGAATGAAAATATGTTCTTCCTCAGGCTGCATACCAAGTATTCATGCTCGATTTATTTCAGTCTTAGCCCATTTCAAATACAGTTGGAATTCTGTTTCAAAATATTAAAATATAAGCCTCGGCCAGGTGCGCCGGCTCAAGCCTGTAATCCCAGCACTTTGGGAGGCCAAGGTGAGTGGATTGTCTGAGCCCACAGCCAACTTGGTGCAACCTCATCTCTACACTAAAAATGAAATAAAACAAAGTAGCCAGGTGTGGTAGTGTACGCCTGTGGTTCTGGCTACTTGGAAGGCTGAGGCGGAAGGATTGCCTGAGTCCAGCAGGTCGATGCTGGGGCGGCCGTGAGCGTGCCACTGCCCTCTAGTCTGGGAGACAGGGTGAGACTCCGACTCAGAAACACATAAAATAAAATAAGTAAAATATAAGCCTCGTCAGCCTTCATACACCCCCACCACCTGTCTCCATCCCACCCACCATTCTCTCACCTGGAGACTGGAGCAGCCTCAGAAGGGATGAACCATGACAGCCTAGTTTCCTATGATTAACCAAATATGAACTCTTTCTGGCCGCAGGACAATTGCACTAGCTCCTCTCTGTGCCTGGGACGCTTTGTACACAGGTATTTGCCCCTCTGCAATACTATCTTCTAAGAGAAACCTTCCCTGACTATCTTCTGCCATACCCTACCCTTTCCTCACACTGATCCTTAGGGACTCTTCTGGATTAGTTTCTTAAACCACTAATCATTGATATTATGCATGTATCCGCATGTGTTCCTGTGTTTCCCTAATTCACATGTCAGTTGCTCAAGAGGAGTTATTCTGATTGGTCGAAGTTGTGGCTCAAGCTTGTAATTCCAGCACTTTGGAAAGCCAAGGCAGGAGAATCACTTAAGGCCAGGAGTTCAAGACTAGCCTCGGAAGCTTAGTGAGACCTTGTCTCTACAAAATAAAAACATCAGCTGGATGCGGTGGCATGCACCTGTCGTCCTAGCTACTTGGGAGGCTGAGACAGGAGGATAACTTTTGCCCAGCAGTTCAAAGCTGCAGTGAACTGTGATCGCACCACTGCACTCCAGCCTAGGTCACAAAGCATGACTCATCTCTCAAAAAATATTTTTTTTAGATTGTTTTCTTCAGTCTGTATTTCCATTGACTGGAACATTGTCTGGCACAGAGTAGGAACTCACATGACAACTAATTGAGATAATGAATGAATGAATAATAGCAATGCTTGCTTCTAATCTTTTCAGCACTATATGTTTTATATATTTTGTGCATGAAGCCCTTAAAATATAGTATCAAAACACTTAAAAATATAAAAATTGGCCAGGTGCAGTGGCTCACGCCTATAATCCCAGCACTTTGGGTTCAAGACCAACCTAGGCAACTTGGTGAGACCGCACCTCTACAATAAATCAAAAATTTAGCTGGGTGTGGTGCTACACACCTGTAGTCTCAGCTACTTGGAAGGCTGAGGTGGAAGGATCACCTGAGCCCAGCAGGCCAAGGCTGTGGTGGCTGTGAGCATGCCACTGTACTCTAGCCTGGTGAGACTGGAGTGAGACTCCAACTAAAACAAAGAAACAAACAAACAAATAAATGAATAAATAAATAAAAATTGTTCCTGAGAGTCAAAGGCATATGACATGAATCTTTAATTTTAGAAGCCTCTGATTAGAACTTTTGTTGACTTTAGACTGCATTTTACTCTACTTAAGGATGAACCATGAAAATTCCCCCAAATTACTTCTTTTCTTTCCTTTTTAAAGAATAACACTGGTGCCTACCTCTCCCTGCCATGAGCTCTTTCTTCCACTTGCTGCCCCACTTGATGCCTAGTTCCTGGCCGTACTCATCCCCATACCAGACCAGCAGTTCACAGCCCGGCCTGATAATCCGGCAGGTCCGATAGAAGATCTGTCTGTGGTATTGGAAGGCCACCAGGTTCTGCTCCTCGTCATCCCGGGCACAGTTCACATACCTCGGGTTGAGGCAGGCAAAGAGAAAGAAAAGAGGCAATGAATTCCCACTATCTGTCAGATCCAGGTCTGGCTCATCACCTGCTGCTCAAGTCCTCTGTAGTCTGAGGCTGCCCACTCCCCCATCACTTTTTGAGGAACCTTCTGTTCATACCTAAGTCTCTTTCACAGTATCACATGAACTCCTATCTCTGAGTCATGCTTAGTGCTCATCCTACCTAGAATTTTTTTAAAGTTCAATTCTAGCTTCACCATGATTGATTGGCTCTACAACACGTTGACTTCTAGCTTCTTTAAATTCTACACTCATTTCTGTTTTATACCACAAAACATGGAGATTGATCATGGACTCTGATTGGCACACGTTATTCTACGTTCAGCCCAAGTCTATCTTCTTTTGAGAGGGCTTCTTCTAATAATCCCATGGTTTACCTGGGTACCATTTACCTGCCTCAGCCAGGTAGACCTCCCATAGAAACATAGAGGTCTCTTTGTCTTGGCACAATAACACAGGACAGTAATAGTTTATTTATATTCGGTATCCCCTCATAAAAGGAGAGTTCATCATAGAAAGGGGATGGGCCATCCTGCAACTCACTTCTCATACTTCAGGTTTTTTTTTTTTTTTTGAGTTGGAGTCTCACTGTTGTCACCCACGCTGGAATGCAGTGGCACAATCACGGCCACTGCAGCCTCCAACTGCTGGGCTTAGGCGATCTTTCCAAGTAGCTGGAACTACAGATGCACGCCACCATGCCCGGCTAGTTTTTTGTGATTTATTGTAGAGATGAGGTCTCACAAAGTTGCTCAGATTGGTCTCAAACCCCCAGGCTCAGGCAATCCTCTTGCCTCAGCCTCCCAAAGTGCTGGGATTACAGGCTGAGCCACCGCGCCCAGCCTCAGACTTCAACTTCAATAAGAGTTCCTGCCCTCACAGATTAAAGATCTTTTGTTTTAGGTTGTCTTGGCACTGTATACTTCTTGAAAAATCAACAAATTATAGTTAAATATTCCTATAATTAAATGTTTCATGTCTATCTGCAATAAATTCCTCACAATTACAAGGTTCGTGTGATCTGTTCAAGTAAGAAACTTCATTTTCCAAACCGGAACATAGTAAGTGCTTAATAAATTTGAATTAGATAAATTAAAGCATAAATGCATCCATTGTTCTCAGTGAATCTAGGCTCCTGAAGGTTTATTTGGCATCTAGCATAGAGATTTATGTTTTGATAAAAGTTAATTATAATATTTATATATTTCTTTTTTTCTAAATACTCATGATATCAAAGAGCATTGTAGAGAGGAAAATAGGAACAGGAGACCTCCCTCTTCGAGGGAGACATGATGAAAAGGAAAGGAATCTGAGATTATGAGAGACAAATGACTTCTCCAGAACCCAGAAACCTATTGGCCTTACCTCATCCAGTTAGCCCAAGATTTATCCTTTCCATCCACATACTCATAGCAGTTTCTCCCCTTGGTGATCTGAGTTTCAGAAAATTAAGTTAAAGACTTTTTAGGAGACGATAATCAGAAGAAATTATTTTACTCTATAGTCATCAATGCCCTTTGCGTCTGCATGAATTCAACTGCCAGTTGAGACTACATGGTATGTTGCTAAGTCATCGTCTACACCTCTGAGTTGATTTGTCCAATCAGAGCAGAGGCCCCACAAGGGAAGATGCACTTCTTTGTCTTTGTACCACTCTGCTCCCACATACCCTCTGATCTTTAAATAGGAGCTTCATGTTTGTACAAAGAATATTGAGTACACAGAGCTAACCATGTTACCCCTGCCCATGTCCTATCATATAGAAGGTGATGTCTCACCAAAGGCACAGATGGGATGTGGGAAACCAGAATGGGGGAAAAAGCAGGCATTTCTCACCAGCCAGGAGTATCCACTGTTGGCTGCCTCTTCATCGTCTGTGATCTGGCCCTCGTAGGGGCCAAAGTGCAGACCCAGTGGCAGCTCAGATGCCTCGTTCCACACTCCAAGCCCAGCCTGAGGGATGCCTGATGGTCCAATTCTCAGTCCGGGGGGCAGACTGAGGGCTGAACGATTGGGATGCCCCTTGTCCACTGCACTGTCATTTATAAAAGTAGGGATCCCATGAGTAGCACAGCTGTCAATGAAGAAGTTCTGACACTGCTCACAATCTGGAGGTGAAAGCACCAGAGATTAGGAAAGGTATAGTGCATATTCCCAGATATAAGAGCTTCAAAAAGAGCCCAGCACCGACATCATTTAGCTTCAATCCTATACTCCAAGTCACTAGAGTAAGGGAATGATTTGGGGGCCAAATGATGAGGGGAAATTATCGTACCAGGACACAACAGCCTTCTGTGTGAGTGGGCCAAGAAGGTCACTTACAGAGGTAGTCATCATCCTGTGGCTCGTTGACCTCTTTGTAGGCACAATCTTTTCTTTCTCGCAGGCTGTACATGTTCACTTCAATCTCCTTTTTTCTGAATTCTAAATTGGAGAAGAGTAGGTAAGTGAAGTTGGGAGTCTGGAATGATTGTTTCTGTTTCATCAGAAAATGTGACATCTCTTAATATCAAATTATCACCTATTCTTCCACATACTCTGGTCTCCCTTCTCCCATCCAAACTACTTGGTTCAGAGAGACTAAGTAAGACTCCACACCCATATTGACTGCAGATACCTAATTCAGTTTTAGTTTCTGCCTGTTCCCATTATCCCATTAACCTTCCAGTCTTTCTACTTACAAAACAGTTCATGCATGCATTTATTCATTCAGAAAATATTTATTGAGGGCACATTACATGTTAGGCATTGAACAAGGGTCTGGACATATAACATTAAGAAAGTATGATCTGTACTATCAGAGATGGAATTATTGGACACCTTAAAAGTATCGATTCTTTTATATTTAATTTAATACCTTGAGGCTATGTATCCTTGTCCTCATTGTATAGATTAGCATTCAGGAGCTTGATGAACTTTTTAGATTTTGCCCTAAACTCCAATGCTTCTATGTGTGACTTCAAAGTTAATATTTTTACATGCTATTCGATACTACAGACAACTTCTGGGCTCACACTTTAATCCAGTTGAAGCCCAAGCCTATCAAAAGTCCACCCCACATATCCAAACAATACTCACCAACCCTTCTAGAGGACTTAGGGAGGCAAAAGTCCCCACATTGTTCTTCCTTACCCAATTTTCTTCTAGAGTGCTGTTCAGAAGTGCTTGCTTCTCTGAGAGGGGACACTGGTTTCCAGGCCTGCTCTGAGTCACTTGTATTCAGTAAATTTGCCATTTCTGACAATTCCTTCAAGCTAGATACGATACTTAATGGCGCCCTGGGCATTCCCTTTAATGTGAGAGTCACATATTAAAAGACAACATGCATTTTTACTTCTTTAGAGTTTGCAACATGTTTTCATATGCATGACTTTAGTTAATGCTTCCACAACCATTGGAAATATCTGAGGTGCCTAAGTACTAGAGGGAAAAGGAAGGGCCTAAATGGGTAGTGAATCCAGCCCTAGAATCCATATCTTAAGTTTCTTTCCCTTCAATTTTCTCTCAAAGTTTTCTATATACGTGAAAGTGAGGGAGCAAGATTACTTGGGAAGACTAGCTGGAGAATCAGCAAGGTTTGTGAAATAAGGAGGTAAGGGCTTACAGAGAAAAACGGGATCTTCTATAAACTAGTAGACATTTGATGGATGGGAAATGTAGACTAGCAGAGAAGGACAGAGCACATCTGGAAAATGAGGTAACAGAGCAGTAAGGTTGAAATGAGAACAAAGAAATGGCTGACAGAAGTGTATCTAGACAATGAAAAAGTGATGCTAAAGTTGCAAATTGTCGTATCCTACACAGAATATTTTAATTTGGAATTAGATCAGTTGGCTCCTGTACCAATTTTGCTTGAATAAGAGTGTATTATTAGCTAATTGTCTTCAGTTTCCTGATCCATAAATTGGCATACATGCTAATTCTTAATGTTATAGTGAGCATGAAGCATAATAATGCTCACCAAAGTGTTTTGTGAGCTATTAAATACTGCATGAATGTGAGATTAATAATTTCTCACACAGTCATGATATCAATTTACCTCCTCCATCATCTCTACAGTCAAATTCTAACTCAAAGATCTAATTTTCAGCATTCCTTGACCTTGTTACTTGTAGCTTAATTTGTAAACTTAGAATTACTCATTGAGAAAACACTCGGGATTCTCAGGGACCCTGAGCTGAGCCTGGGACTTTGGAGAAGAATAAGGTATGGACCAGGCTCTTGAAGAGCTCACAATGTAGAGGCAGCAGGTAGGTTAAACAGAAGATACCAAACAACATGAATTGGTTAATCAGAGGCCAGGGGAAGAAGCTGTTACCTCTTCCTACAGGAACGAGCATTTCAAATCAATTCTAGAAGGATACATTTCTACTGAATAGTATGTCACCAATATGAAGTCCGAAGTAATTTTCTCATTTGGTGTTTCTCGATTTTTTTTTTTTTTGAGTTGGAGTCTCACTCGGTTGCCCAGACTGGAGTGCAGTGGCCGCTCCCGGCCACCGCAGCCTCGACCTGCTGTGCTCCGGCGATCCTTCCGCCTCAGCTTTCCAAGGAGCTGGAACTACAGGCGTGCGCTACCACGCTCGGGTAATTTTTTAAAAAATTTATTATAGAGATGAGGTCTCGCCTGCCCAGGCGGGTCTCGAACCCGCGGGCCCAGGCAATCCACTCACCTCAGCCTCCCAAAGGCGCGGGATTACAGGCTGAGCCACCGAGCCTGGCGTTTCTCGATTTTTAAACCTGAAACTCCTCAGGGATGGAAGCTGCTTTTTCCTATCAGAATGAGTCCTTTATGAAGGTAGGAACACCCTATCTTCTTCTTCTGGGACCATCCATAGTACAAATTGTCTGTATGTTTATAAGCTTCCCTTAGAGTATATTAGCACATCTCTCACTTTACTGTAACAGAGAAAAACTGAGGTTGAAAAGCCAGTCAGATGAATGATGTAAGGATATATGGATATGACGGCATAAATTTTATAAAACTCCGAAAGTGTTGTTTTTTTTTTTGAGTTGGAGTCTCACTCTGTCATCCAGGCAGGCGTATAGTGGCACGTTCATTGCCACTGCAGCCTTGACCTGCTGGGCTCAGGTTGTCCTTCTGCCTCAGCTTCCAAGTAGCCAGAACTATAGGTGCGTGCTACTACGCTCAGCTAATTTTTGATTTATTGTAGAGACGAGATCTCACCAAATTGCCTGGGCTGGTCTCGAATCTGTGGGCTCAGGCAATCTACTTGCCTCAGCTTCCCAAAGTGCTGGGATTACACCTGAGCCACTGAGCCCGGCCTCTGAAAGTTTTAATGAGTTTGTAAGTACTTTAGAGAAGGAGATTTGGATTAGGCTGCACTAACACTAAATGTGACACCAGACATATAACTGAACATTTTTGTACCTCAGTTTTTTTAATCTATAAAATGGTCATAGAAACTACCTCATAGGGTTGTTGTAAGGTTTAAGTGAGCTTATTAATGTAACATGTTTAAAATACAGTCTGAAATATCGTGAAATAAAATAGTGGTAGTGATTATTGTTGCTGTTCTTATTAACTCTTAAAATGATAATGACATCAGACATTGTGCTAAAGAGACCAGGAAAGGAAGGCAGTAATTCCTAGGACACTCTGTATATTCTCCTTCTCTTACCTGTGTTTGGATCCATGAAGAAGATTTTCTTGTCAATAGGATTTGGGAGTTACTTACCTTCTGGTGTTTATTCTGTTCCACTCTGAAGGCCATCCAGGGAGGTTTGACTAAAAGGTAATGAGAAATAAGTAGTTTGGTGATAAATGTTTTCAAACTCTGGAGATTCTCATTAGAAGCAGAGGATTCTGAACCAGAGAATGATAATTTAAAGTATTATACAAGGGTGATTTGAAAATGTTTCCCGAAGTGTCATTAAGGCCCATGCCTTTATTGGGAGCATTGTTAATTTTCTTAAACTGCCTTTTAAAGATAGAGAAACCTTCACCTCTGCTTTATCTTAGGTTCATAAGGTACCTATCACATTTATTTATTTATTTTTGAGTCAGAGCTTCACTTTGTTGCCCAGGCTGGAGTGCAGTGGCACGCTCACGGCCACTGCAGCCTCGACCTGTTGGGTTCAAGTGATCCTTCTGCCTCAGTCTTCCAAGTAGCTGGAACCACAGGCGTGTGCCACCATGCCTGGCTAATTTTTTGATTTATTGTAGAGATGAGGTCTTGCCAAGTTGCCCAGGCTGGTCTCGAACCCATGTGGTCAGGCAATCCTCTCACCTCGGCCTCCGAAAGTGCTGGAATTATAGGCGTGAGCCACGACACCTGATCTTATCACATTCATTTAAAAAAATAAATGGACTGATCTTTCATGACAAGTACACTGAATAAACTAGGAACAGAAGGAAATTACCTTCACATAAAAAGATTGTATAGGAGAAGTCAATAAGTAAGTAAGTAAGTAAATACATAAATAAATACTTCCTTTAGACTATAGGAGGGTAAAAAAAAAAAGAAAACAAAGGAAAAGTTCATATTTAACATCATACTCAGTGATGAAAACTGAAAGCTTTTCCTCTAAGGTCAGAAACAAGGTAAGAATTTCCACTCTCCTTACTTCTATTCAGCATAGTCGTGGAAGTTCTAGCCAGAGCAATTAGGCAAGTAAAAGAAATAAAAGGTATCCAAATTGGAAAGGAAGAAATAAAATAATATCTGTTTGCAGATGACATGATCCTATATGTAGAAAAGCACAAAGAATCCACCAAAAAAACTGTTAGAATAGATGAATTCAGCAAAGTTGTAGGATTCAAAATCAGTACTCAAAAATCAGTTGTGTTTCTGTACACTAACAATGAACATGACAAAAAGAAAATTAAGAAAAGAATCCCACCTACAGTAGCACCAAAAACGATAAAATACTTAGGGATAAACTTAACTAAGGAGGCAAAAGACATGAACACCTAAAACTATAAAATATTTCTGAAAGAAAGTAAAGAAGACACAAACAAATGGAAAGACATCTTTGTTCATAAATTAGGCAATTTAACATTGTTAACATATTCATACTATCAAAATGATTTACAGATTCAGTGTCGTGTTTTTCAAAATGCCAATGCCATTTTTTTTTGAGTCAGAGTCTCACTCTGTCACCCAGGCTGGAGTGCAGTGGCACACTCAAGGCCACCAGAGCTTCGACCTACTGGGCTCAGGTGATCCTTCTGCCTCAGCCTTCCAAGTAGCTGGAACCACAGGCATGCGCCACCATGCCCAGCTAAATTTTTGATTTATTGTAGAGACGAGGTCTCATCATGCTGCTCAGGCTGGTCTCGAATCCCTGAGCTCAGGCAATCCTCTCAACTCTGCTTCCCCAAGTGTGGGGATTACAGGTTTGAGCCACCATATGTGGCTACTAATGACATTTTTACAGAAACAGAAAAAAATCCAAAAGTCCATATGGAATTTCAAGGGACCCAGAATAGCCAAAACAATCTTGGAAAAGAAGAATCTAAGTTGGAAGTCTCACACTTCTTGCCTCAAAACGTATTACAAAGTTACAGTAATCAAAACAGTGTGTTACTGGCATAATGACAGAAATATAGATCCATGGAAAATAATGGAGTAGTCAAAATAACTTAACTCAAAATGGATTAAAGACCAAAATGTAAAAATTCCAAGAAGGAAACATAGAGACAAAGCTTCATAACCCAGAAATTTGAGACAAGCCAGGGCAACATAGTAAGACCTCCATCTCAAACAAGCAGATAAGTAAATAAAGGGTTAATATCCAGAGTATATAAAGAATTCCTGCAATAAAACACAACAACAAAACAAATAACATAATTAAATAATAGGTGGCCGAGCCACCGAGCACTTGTGATGCCACATGAGCTGAAGCCGCACCTCCCGCATGACCCCTTTGGCCAGCAGGGCCCCTCAGATGAGAACTGCACCAGTAGCTCAGCACCAGCAGCTCAGCACCAGCAGCAGCCTCACCACCTGCAGTTGGCTTACCTGCTGGGGCTCCCTGGCAGCCAGGTCTGATGGCCCAGATGGCAACCACTGCAGCTGGCGTGGTTGTCGGCTTTGCTGTTGGGTACATGCTGACTGGGTCATGCCATCACTGGGGACTTCAGTGGAGGAAGTAATGCTGAACCCTTAAGGCCTGACCTCACTTACCAGGAACCTCAGGGAGCCCAGCCCATACAGCAGCAGCAACCTTGCTTGTATGAGATAAAAAAGTTTTTGGAGTGTGCCCAGAACCAGGGTGACATAAAGCTCTGTAAGGGTTTCAATGAGGTGCTGAAACAGGGCAGACTTGCAAATGGATTGGCCTAATCAAGAAGTTCAGATTGAGGAAATGGAAAATCAACTCTCATGACCAAGTTAATTTAGCATAAAAATATAATTGATAGTGAAGGTATGAATTGTAAAACCATCACTCATTCACAGCTTCCTAGCCCAATTGCAATGGAAGAGGTTGTTCTTATTGTGAAGAATTTCATTGAGATGGTGTAGTATTTGGTGCTGGGCAAATGTTTGTGTGGCCTTCTTAAGCCAGCTGTTGTGATTTCATTTTTTTGTGAGTTCATTAGAATACAGCGGGTTTATTAAAAAATAGAAATTTAAACACTAGGTGCTATGGTCTGAGTTTTGTTTCCTCAAACTGCACATGTAGAAGCACTAATCCTCAATGTGATGTTTTTTAAAGATTGGGCCCTTGTATGTAATTAGAGTCAGGTGAGGTCATGAGGGTGGACTCATTATGATAGGATGAGTGCTTTTATAAGAGGAGGAAGAGAGTGATTCCTTCCTCCTTCTAGTATGAACACAAAGAAGAGATCATGTAAGCACACAGTGAGATGGAGGCTGCATGCAAGTCAGGAAGAGAGCCTTCACCAAAACCCAACCATGCTGGCACCCTGATTTTCTACTTCTAGCCTTGAGAACTGTCAAAATATATATATATATATAAAATAACCAACCCAGTGTATGGTATTTTCTTACAGCAGTCTGAGCTGACTAATACAAATGGGCAAAAGATTTGAATAGACATTTATCCAAAAAAGATATATAAATAATCAACATATATGAAAAGATGCTCAACATCACTAATCATCATGAAAATTATAACCACTATGAGATATCGCCTGATGCCTGTTAGGAGGACCTCTATCCAAATACACAAAATAACAAGTGTTGACAAAGATTTGGAGAAATTTGAACTCTTACTCAATGTTGGTGGGTGAATTAGTTTGTTTTTTGTTGTTTTATGAGAGTATTGGCTGGGCTAGGTGGCTCAGCCTGTAATCCTAGCACTTTGGTAGACTGAGATGAGTGGATTGCCTGAGCCCATGGGTTCAAGACCAGTTGGGCAACTTGGTGACACCTCATCTTTACAATAAATGAAAAAAATTAGCAGGGTGTGGCAGTGTGCACGTGTTGTTCTTACTACTTAGAAGGCTGAGGCGGAAGGACCGCTGGAGGCCAGCAGGTCAGCGCTGAGATGGCCGTGAGCCTGCGTGCCACTGCACTCCAGCCCGGGCGACAGAGACTCCAACTCAAAAAAGTAATAATAATAAAATAAAACTAAATTTATTTGTTGGTTCATGGTTCTGGAGACTGAGAAGTCCAAGAGCATGGCACTGGCATCTTGTAAGGGCCTTCATGCTGTGTGCATCAGGACATGGTGGAAGGGTAAGCAAGCATATGAGACAGAGAGTAAGAGAGGGAAGGTCCAAACTCATCCTTTTCATCAGGAACCCCCTCCTGCAATAACTCACTCCAGGGATAATGGCATTAATCCATTCATGAGGGTAAAGCCCTCATGACCTAATCACCTCTTCCAGCACCTGAACTTTTTGGGGGACACATTCAAACCACAGTAGTGGGAACGTAAAATGGTGCAGCCACTATGAAAAAACAGTATGGCGGTTCCTCAAAAAATTAAAAACAGAACTACTTTATAATTCAGAAATCTCACTTCTGAATATACATATACCCAAAAGAACTGAAAACAGTATCTCAAAGAAAGATATGTGTATACTCATGGTCATTACAGCATTGTTCACAATAGCCAAGAGGTGAAGCAACCTAAATGTCCATTGACAGATGAATAAATAAACAAAATGTGGAATATACATACAATGGAATATTATTCCACCTTAAAAAAGAAAGAAATCCTGTTATATGGTACAACATGGGGGAGCCTTGAGAACATTATGCTAAGTGAAATAAGACAAATATGGGATGACTGATTCGACTTATATATGGTATCTAAAGTAATCAAATTCATAGAGACAAAAGATAGAACTGCAGTTGTCAGGAGCTAGGGGGAGCAGGAAATGGGATGTTATTGCTCATTGGGTATAGAGTTTAGTCAAGCAAGATAAAAAGGTTCTAGAAATAAATTGCATAATAATGTGGACGTAGTTAATAATATTGTATACTTACAGAAGTTGATAGAAAAGTAAATTTACATTGTGATTTCTTTTTTTTTTTTTTTTTTTTTGAGTTGGAGTCTCACTCTGTCACCCAGACTAGAGTGCAGTGGCCGCTCTCAGCCACCGCAGCCTTGACCTGCTGGGCTCCAGCGATCCTTCCGCCTCAGCCTTCCAAGTAGCCGGAATTACAGGCATGCGCTACCAAGCCCGGCTGATTTTTTGATTTATGAGGTCTCGCTGCCCAGGCGGGTCTCGAACCCGCAGGCTCAGGCAATCCACTCACCTCAGCCTCCCAAAGGTGCGGGATTACAGGCTGAGCTACCGAGCCCGGCTGATTAAAACAATTGACTAAGTTGAGGATTTGAACTGAGTCCAGATAAAGATATGTGGAAGTGTGATAAACTATGGGAGATAGGTTCCCTATGAAGATAGTCTTTTCATGTCAAAACCTTTGCAGAAAAAAAATATTGGGCCTTCAGACCTCTTACACTACTTTAAGAGCTTAAGAGATCTAAAATCTGTCCATGGGGAAGTAAGAGACCTAATTCAAATCACTTTCTCCAGTTTAGGCAGATCGACTCTCTCTTCTAAATTCCAACCAGTAGAAGAGGAAATGAGCTTCTCAGTTCTATTTTATAATGATTGCACATTATTTTATTTACCTGATGCTGTCTCTGGTCAGTGACATATGGGAAAGAGTAGGGAAACTAAACAGCTCTCTCAAACTCTTAGAATTAAACCAGAAAACAGATTCATTTTGGGGTAAGAGGATCATTATGAAATATGATATATGATTAATGTGATTAAATTATATATTTTTACTTAATATGTTAATTATTTCCTCTTCTAAGGCATTTAACTCAATAACTGAACTGTTATGAAATTTGTATTAGAAAGCTTTTAAGGTTTATTTATTTATTTATTATTTTTTTTTTTTAGTAGGAATCTCACTCTGTCTCCCAGCCTGGAGGGCAGTGGCACACTCCCGGCCACCACAGCCTTGACCTGCTGGGCTCCGGCGATTCTTCCGCCTCAGCCTCCCAAATAGCCGGAACTACAGGCGCGAGCTACCATGCCCAGCTAATTTAAAAAAATTTATTGTAGAGATGTGGCCTCGCCAAGTTGCCCACGTGGGTCTCGAACCCGCAGGCTCAGGCAATCCACTCACCTCGGCCTCCCAAAGTGCTGGGATTACAGGTTGAGCCCCCTGAGCCCAGCCTTAAGGTTTCTTTAATTGTCCTTTGCTTTAGTAACAATGTTTAGCAAAAACAACGTTTATTTTTTTAAAATGACAAATTTTAAACATATAGAAAAGAATGAGCTGAGTGAGGTGGTTCATACCTGCAATCTCAGCACTTTGGGAGGCTGAGGTGGAAGGATCACCTGAGTCTAGGAGTTAGAGACCAGCCTGGGCAACATAGCCAGACCTTGTCTCTACAAAAGACAAACAAACAAAAAATAGCCAGATGTGGTGGCACGTGCCAGTAGTCCCACCTGCTCAGGAAGCTGAGGTAGGAGTATTGCCTGAGCCCAGGTGGTTGAAGCTGCAGTGAGCTGTGATTGTGCCGCTGCACTCCAGCCTGGGAAAGAGTGAAAAGATTGGAGAATACTGGAAAAACCTATACCTCCAGCACCATTCAGTCCGATCTCAACATTCTGCCACAACTGCTTCCGATCTTTTTATTTTATTTCAAATTCCAAAAACAAACAAAAAGCTAAGTCACAGTGAAGCCACCTGTTAGTTCTTCCTTTAGTTGTGATAACTGTTCCGAATTTGGCATTCTTATTCACATTCAGATTTTATACATTTACCACTTAGTATTGTATCTATAAAAATGTATATATTTTACACATTTTGAAACTTTATATGAATAGCTTCTGACTAGATATACTGTTTAGCATCTTGCTTGTTTGTTGAACAGTTATGTTTTTGAGGGAACAGTCTGTTTCCTCTGTTAACTCCTGAGATGTAGCTGAGACCTAAACCCAGGCTGGTTTCAGAGGGCCACCTCTAAATCCTCCTGGCCTCTTACCTTGCTGCCTAGGTGTCCATTCTTCATCAGAATCCTCAGTGTCATCCACCAAAGGTTTGATGGCCCGCTTTCGGTGACACATGAAAGCTGGTCGAGGGGCTCTGAGACCTGAAACGAAGCAAAATCTTTGTCCTAAAAGGGAAGAACTGGGAGGAGGAATAAAGGGCAGTGGCAGTGGAAATCACCCCAAAGCCAGTGCAGCCCCGTTTGATGAGCTGGGAGAGTCTGGAACAAGGTCAAGATGTGACCTCTGCATGACCATTATCTGCACTCAGCCCCACACTGACACAAAGGAACAAAATTTCTCTCCACATTTGTCTCCATACAGAAGAGAGCTATGGGCAGATGCAGCCTCCCAAGAGAAAACCAAAATAATACTGGGACCAACGACCTGTTTTTTGTTCCCCAGGCTGGTCTGTACCTAGCACTTCCTGTTACCTATAGCAATCAGCGTATTATAGTTCCTTTTCACATTCCTATAGCGGATTTTCTCCCAGTCTCCCATCTCTGCCCATTCTTCCTTGGTGAAGTATATGGAAATGTCCTTGAAGGCATCTTTGACCTAAAGAGAGCAACAGATTTCCTCGGTGATTTACTGGTGCACGTGGAGCTGGGCCTTTTCCTCCACCTTGTGTGTATGGCATAGCTGGAGCCCTCTGGGTGGGTGCTGTGAAACACGAAGAATTTCCCTCTCTCCCATATTATGTCCCGTTTAGCCCCCTAGACACTGAACATTTCCCCAGCTCTCCAGACAGAGCAGTCACTGCTGCTGCAGTCCTACTTGAAGTAGGAGGCAAGTTGTAATCTCCCACTTCTTAGTCCCTAAAACACCACTTTTCGGGCTTCAGGAGAGGGTTCTAGGCTGGACCAGTGAAGGAGTTAACAAAGCTCAGGGCCACAGAGCACCTGCAGGATGAAGTAGTCCAGCAGGTCTTTGTCCTTTCTCCCCCTCGTCCGGACCAGGACCAACCACCCCATAGGGTCACCCAGGGGTGCAGGCCAGGAGTCCTCCAGAGACCAGCTCCGCGCCCCCGAGCCTGCCCGCCAACCCCGCTGGAGCCGGCGTTTCCTCCCCCGCCTCTCACCGCGGACTTGCACTCCGTCCGCCCCGTGTCTCCCTCTGGGCTGTCCTCGGGGGACCGATCAGGGCTCATGGCGCCGGGACTGCCCGCCTCCAGTCTGGGAAGGGCCCCAGTCTCCCTGCTCCTAGGCCTCGGCTCCTGCGGAGGAGAAGGTGCTCAGGGGGACAGCAGCCCTGACCTCTCCCCATCCCCGGGCTGGGGTGTTCCGAGAGGGAGATGTGGGGACCCCGGCGCGCTCTGCGGGTGCCTGGGTCCAGGGGTGTAGGCGGGGCGGGGGGCGCGACAGCCCCTGGGGCCCCGCGTCCGGCTCCTTTAGTTCCTCGAATAGAGGCGCGGAGGTGCCCGGGGCGTTGCGGCCGGGTCTGAGGGGCGGGAGGCCTGAGGGGAGGCCCCTGCCCGCCCGCCCGGACGTTTCTCTTCGAAGCCACGTGGGGCTCTCCCCCGGGATTCTGGAAAACTCTGCGAGCAAAGCCGACTGGGTGCCTAGGGGGCAGCCAGCTTTCCGGCTGAGGAGCTTTGGGGCGCTCCAGTCGAGGCGATCTGAGAATCTTCAGGCTGAGGGGCTGTGGCGGCTCTCACGGAGGGCTTTCGGCTCCTGAGGCTGAGGGGAACGGCGCCTTCGAGGGAACTCCGCGGTCCCGAGGCCGGGGAGTCTGGCCCCTCTGCGGGTGGGATGCTCAGGGCTTCTCAGGCGTAGGTCGGGGCGCCCCAGGCTGAGGGGGGTCGTGGCTCCTCAGCCTCAGAGTTTTCGGGGATCCCCGCAGTAGGGCACCCGGTGTTCCTCCGGGTGAGGGGATCCGCGGTCCCTGACGCCGCGGAGCTTTGGGGTCTCCTCATGCAGAGGAGGTTTAAAATCACTCAGGTAGAGGGTTGGCGGCCTCTTAAGGGGCAGGACTTGGGGTCTCTTGGGGCTGAGAGGACCCGGGGTCCCCCCAGGTTGAAATTTGAGGGTTTTGGACTGAGCGTGTATAAGGGTGGCTGACGGCACGGCAGAGCCTTCCCACCCCCGCTCCCGGTTCCCGTCGGTCTCCCCGGCTCTCCTGTCGCGCTGCGCACCTTGGCCGGGTGCCCTCCTGGAGTCCCTCAGAGGTGGCGGGCAAGGAACCAGCCTGCCGCGCTCTGTCGGCACAAGACGCCAATCAACACTGCCACCACGGGCTTCAGCCAATAGGCGGTCAGGAGGCGTCAGAGGGGAGGGGCTTAGGGCGGAGCCCTGCCTGTCCGTCACGGGCTTTTGGGCGCTCAGGCCGTGGGGCGGGGACTCTGGGAAAGATCTCGCCTCACTCCGAGGCGATTGGCTACCCTGGTCGTGCGCGTGTGTCGGTCAAGAATCCTCCAGCGCGCAGGCGCAGTCTGGCTGTTTCCGTTGCTTGTTTTCCCCCCGCAACCCCGGTGTTTGCGAATGGGCCCCGGGGGCCCCTGGATTCTCGCAGGTGCGGTTGTCTGAGATGTGGCGGGTCCAGCTGGCGGTCCTGCTGACCAAAGATCGTCATTGGTGTGGTGCAGTGTTTTAAGCATTCGGGATCGTTGTAGGGGATGTGGTTTTACTGGAGCACCCGTCCCAGCGCTTCGTTGCGCTACCGCGTGCGAGTCGTGGTTCGGGGGACAGGCGTCCGAGCGTGCCGGGCCAGGAATCCACGAACCGGGCGGGCCTTAAAGATGGGACGTGTTCACGTGTCCTGCTCCGCCCCACCCTCTCGGGACACCGGGGCCGCCTCCTGCCGGGAAGGGCTGCTGCTTTGGGGGTCTGCTGGGGCCTCCTGGGCGAGTCTGAGGCTGGGAGGAGTGGGGAGAGATCTGCGCTTAAGTCCCAGGGCCGTGCACTTCAAAAAGACAGGAAAGCGCGGACAGAGGAGGCTGGCGGCAGGGCAGCGGAGACCGGTCTTGGTTACAGAAGTTGCCCAGTGAGTGCTTGTTAGTGCCCAAGAAGCCATCTAAGGATGGGGACTCAGGATTCATTTGTCAACTGACCGGATGAATAAATAGTGTGAGAGTGTCCTTATTGAGTGCGCACTCCGTCCCCCATGGAATGTCCAGTGTTCCCTTTCCCAGAATGTTCCTGAAGTCCCAGGCTGGGCCCGATGCCTCCTTCCCTCCACAGTCTCCTGTGGTTGCCCCTCAATTCTGATCTCTTGAGGTTGACTTTTCTGTGACAGAGAATTCCCCGAGGACCCAGCGCTGACCTTACATGAAACTCATGACCTGCATCGTCCTTTGTAAATCCCACAACCACCCAATGAGGAGGCTCTACTATTCTCCACTTTTGCAGAGTTAGAATTGGGAACTGGGAGGTTGAACCACGTGGCCAAGCTCACGCAGCCAACAATAGTAGGCAAGTTGTGGTCTCCCACTACCTAGCCCCTAAAACACCACTTTTCAGGCTTCAGGAGAGGGTTCGAGGCTGAAACAGTGAAGGAGTTAACAAAGCTCAGGGCCACAAAGAACCTACAGGATGACGTAGTCAGCCAGTGGGTTGTGGGGCAACACACCTTGCTGAGCACCAAGCAGAAGGGCTGGCTTTGGCTGAGAGGGCCTGAGATTTTCTCCTCTAAAAGGGGACCTCGGCTGGGCTCGATGGCTCAGCCTGTAATCCAGTACTTTGGGAGGCTGAGGTGAGTGGATTGCCTAAACCCGTGGGTTAGAGACTAGTCCGGGCAACTTGGTGAGACCTCGTCTCTACAGTTAATCAAAATTAGATGGGCGTTGTAGCGTGCGCCTGTAGTTCTGGCTACTTGGAAGGCTGAGACGGAAGGATTGCTGAAGCCTAGCAGGTCGATGGTGGGTGGTTGTGAGTGAACTGCTGCACTCCAGCCTGGGTGAGGAAGTGAAACTCCAACTCGAAAATAAATACATAAATAAATAAAATGAAAAAAATAAAGAAAAGTGATCTCAACCAAGAGGAGTGAGCAAGTTGATTTGTTCAGGTGTTTGGGGGTTCCAGTTCTGGGGAAGAAAAATGTAGTGATGTGCTACTAGGGACTCATGGAATGGGAGGCAGTGCTTCTTTGAGGGGGTATGGGTTCTGCTGTAGGCTGACCTGCATGCACATCCCAGCACAGCCCTGCTGGCTGTAGGATCTTGGGTAAGGCCCTCACCTGCCCCGAGTCTCTGATAACTCCTTTGTGGTCATTGGTGGCAGTTCCTTCTAACACCATAGAGATTATGTTGTAAAACCCTTAGCAATGTGTGAGTGATCAATAAGCAACAGTGAAAGTTATTATTACAATACAGCCATGATTCTGTTTCTATACTGTGCCATATTTCCATGTGATCCAGATGGATATGGGGAACTTTCTCCCTTCTCAAAGTCATTTTCTGTGGTGCCTGTAGAAAAAAAAAGGGATTAGCAACTTCCCAGGCCACAGGCTAGAGGCATGGGAAGTCAGTAAGGAAGGGGGCTGTGAGTTCAGCTTTTCTCACAAAAGGAACAGCGAGTTCCTCTGTTCTGGAAACATTGACAGTTCTCGGTGAGAGGACAGACCTGAACCATGTGGTACCGTATGGGTCTAGGGTATGCAGGATCTTGTGGACCTTCTGATCCTAGAAAAGAAATAAAAGGCATCCACATTAGAAAGGAAGATGTGAAATTATCACTGTTTTCAGATGACTTGATCTTATAAGTAGAAAAACCATAAAGATTCCACCAAAAAAACAAAGCAAACAAACAAAACCCGGGTAGAACTAAATAAATGAATTCAGCAAAGCTGCAGGATATAAAATCAACTCAGAAATCAGTTGTGATTAGTCTGATGTAGTGGTGCACACCTGTAGTCCCAGCTATTCTTTGGGAGACTGACTCAGGAGGATCGCTTGAGCCCAGGAGTTGGAGGCTACAATGAGCCATGATCATCCACTCCAGCCTGGGCAACAGAGTGAGACCCAGGCTAAACAAAATCAGTTGTGTTTCTGTATACTAACAATGAACATCCCAAGGGAAATTAAGAATTCCATCTACACTAGCATTAAAAAAAAAACAACAAAAAACCCCACAACATCTAGAAACAACCAACCACGGAGATGAAAGACTTAAACATGGAAAACTATAAAACATTGCTGAAAGGAATTAAGGAAGAGACAGATAAATGGAAAGACATCCTGTGTTCATGTAGAAGATTTAATATTGTTAAAATGTTCACACTACTCAGAAAGATCGACAGATTCTGTGCAATATCTGTCAAAATGCCAGTGCCGTGTTTTGCAGAAACAAAACAAGAAAATCCAAAAATTTATATGGAATCTCAAGAGACCCAGAATAGCCAAAGCAATATTGAAAAAGAAGAAATGAAAAGAAAAAAGAAAAAGAAATGGTTGGGCGTGGTGTCTCAAGCCTGTAATCCCAACACTTTGGGAGACCGAGGCAAGAGGATTGCCTGAACTCAGGGGTTTGAGACCAGCCTGAGAAATTTGGTGAGACCTCATCTCTACAGCAAATCAAAAAAATAAGCCATGCGTGGTAGCACACACCTCTAGTTCCAGTTTCTTGGAAGGTTGAGGTGGAAGGATCGCCTAACCAGAGGGTCCAGGCTGCGTTAGCTGTGAGTGTGCCACTGCACTCCAGCCTGGGCAACAGAGTGAGAATCCAACTGAAAAGAAAATAAAAAAAGAAGAACAAATTTGGAGACCTTGCATTTCCTGATTTCAAAACAAATTACAAATCTACAGTAATCAAAAGAGTGTGGTACTGACATAAAGAAAGATCTATCCCTTGCATATATGGTAAGATTATGTTTGACAGGAATGCCAAGACCACACAATGAGGGAAAGGACAATCTCTAAGAAATGTTGGGAAAACTGGATATACATAAGTAAAAGAATACAGATATGCCTTACTATATGCCATACAAAAATCGTCTCAAAATGTATTAAAGATCAAAATGTAAGGCCTAGAAATATAAAACTCCAAGAAGAAAGCATAGGGGAAAAGCTTCATGACATTGAAAGGAGCAGTGATTTCTTGGATATCATAACAAAAGCATAAGCAACAAAAGCAAAAATAGACAAATAGGACTGCATCAAACTTACAAATGTCTGTGAAGCAAAGGGAATAATCGACAGAGTAGAAAGGCAATCTATGGAATGGTGGAAAATATTTGCAAGTCATAAAACTGATAAGGAGTTAATATCTAGGATTTATAAAGAATTCATAGGCAGGTGTGGTGCTCATGCCTATAATCCCATCACTTTGGGAGGTGGAGGAGAGAGGATTGCCTGAGTCCAGGGGTTGTAGACCAGCCTGGGCAACTTGTTGAGACCTCATCTCTACAATAAAAAAGAAATTAGTCGAGTTTGACATGGCCCAGGTGGCTGCTTAGAGGGTCCCAACAGAGAGCGGTGAGAGATTAAGAAAGACACAGACACAAAGACATAAAGAAAAGCTGGGGCCAGGTGGGACACTTTCTTCTGACGGAGAAGTGGACCCGAACTAGCTCAGCATGTTTATTTTATAATCAAGCACAAAGGAAGTTGGAGGGGATTCAAGGTCTGTGAGGGAGCTATAACAGAATTTTGTTGCTACCTAAAAGGCGAGCTGTTCATGGTTATCTTGTTGTAGCTAAGGCTTTATCTGTTCTGTGTGCACTCGGATGTATGGGCATCTGAGACGCTGTTTCGTGTAGCAGGCTGCATCCCCTGCCTTTGGCTAGGATGCAGAGCTGTCAAGCGAGACCTTGCCTTCACCTGGGGTGTTTACTCAAGGCCTGCTACAGTGACAGTGCTCGTCTGCTACCCATATCACATCTGCTCCCGACACGGGTGTGGTAGCTTGTGCCTGTAGTTCCAGCTATTTGGAAGACTGAGGTTGAAGGATCACCTGAGCACAGCAGGTCAAGGCTGCTGTGGCCGTGAACATGCCACTGCACTCCAGCCTGGGTGACAGAGTGAGACTTCAGCTCTAAAAAAAAAGGGGTGGAGGTTTCAGCATGGTATCTTTCACCTGTAATTCTAGTGCTTTGGGAGGCTGATGTTGGAAAATTGCTTGCAGCCAGGAATTTGAGACCAGCCTGGGTAACACAGTGAGACTCTTTCTCTACAAGAAAAATAATAATAATAATTTTTTTTTAAAGTTACTGTGCATCTTGGCACATGCCTGTAATCCTAACTACACAGAAGACTGAAGCAGGAAGATTGTTTGAGCCAAAGAGTTCGAGGTTTTCAGTAAGCTTAGATCATGCCACAGCACTCCAGACTGAATAACAGAGAGACCTTGTTTCCAAAAGAAAAAAAAAAAGTGGCGAGATATGGCCAAGGACTTGAATAGACATTTTCCTCAAGAAGACATAAATGCCAACAAGCATAGGAAACATGCTCAATATCACTATCATAGGGGAATGCAAATTAAAGCCATAAGGAGATATCACTTTATACCCATTAGGGTGACCACTGTTAAACAAACAAACAAAAAAAGCAAACAGAAAATGACAAATGTTAGTAAGGCTGTGGAGAAAATTGGAAACTGCTTCAGTGTTGGTGGAAATGTCAAATGTTGTAGAAAACAAGATGGAGGTTTCTCAAAAAATTAAAAATAGAACTACTATAAGATCTGCAATCCTGGCTGGGCCCTGTGGCTCATGCCTATAGTCCTAGCACTTTGGGAGGTCAAGGTGAGAGGACTGTCTTAGCCCATGGGTTTGAGACCAGCCAAGAGTACTTTGGTGAGATCTCATCTTTACCAAAAAAAAAAAAAATTTAGCTGGGTGTGGTGGCTTGTGCTTGTAGTTCCAGCTATTTGGAAGGCTGAGATGGAAGGATTTCCTGACCCCAGCAGGTTGAGGATTTGGTGGCCGAGAGTGTGCCACTGCACTCCAACCTGGGTGACAGAATGAGACTCCAATTCAAAAAAAAGAAAAAAATGAAAGCAAGATCTTGAAGAGATATTTGCATACCTATTACCATTGCAGCATTATCCACAACAGCCAAGAGATAGAAGCAATCCAAATGTCTATTGTTGGGGGAATGGATAGATAAATGTGGTACATACATGCAGTGGAATATCATTCAGCCTTAAAAAAGGCAGAAATTGTGTCACATGCTATCTCATGGATGAACCTGGAGGACATAAGCGAAATAATCCAGTCATAAAAAGGCAAATGCTGCACAATTCTACTTATGTGATGTATCTAAAGTAGTCAAATTCATAGAAACAGAAAGAATAACAGTTGCTAGGGCCTGGGCTAGAGGGAAATAAGTTGTTGTTAATGGATATAGAGTCTCAATTTTGCAGGATGAAAAAGTGGTAGAGATCTCTTGCACAACAATACTTGCAAACTACACATCTGATGAAGTAATGATATCCAGAATCTATAAAGAACTCAAGCAAATCAGCAAGAAAAAAACAAGTAACTCCATTAAAAGGTGGGCAAACAACATGAATAGACATCTCTCAAAAGAAGATATACTAATAGCCAACGAACATGAAAAAAAGCTCAACTTCACTCATAATCAGGGAAATGCAAATTAAAACCACAGTGAGATACCACCTTATACCAGTCAGAATGGCCATTATTAAAACATTAAAAAAATGCTGGTGAGGATGCGGTGAAAAGGGAGCACTTATATGCTGTTAGTGGGAGCGTAAATGAGTAAAACCTCTCTGGAAAGTGGTAAGGAGATTACTCAGTGAACTAGAAGTAGATCTACCATTTGATCCAGTAGTCCCGCTTCTAGGTATCTCCCTAAAGGGAGAGAGATTGTTATGTGACAAAGACACCTATACTTGCTTGTTCATCCCTGCACAATTCCCAATTGCCAAGATGTGGAATCAACCTAAAAACCCATCAATCAACCAGTGGATAATGAAAATGTGGTATATATACACCATGGAACACTATGCAACCACAAAAATGAATGAAATCATGTCCTTTACAGCAACATGGATGGAGGTAAAGATCGTCATCCTAAGAAAACTGACTCAGAAACAGAAACCCCACATGCTCTCACGCATATATGGGCGCTAAACAGTCCCAAAGATGGAAATAACAGACACTGGGGACACCGATAATAGCAGATGGAGAGAGGGGTTGGGGTTCATAAACTACCTATGGGGCACTGTGTTCACTATCTGGGGAATGGGCCACCTGAGACCCAATCACCACTACTATATGCAATATGTCCATGTAACAAATACGTATATGTATCCTCTGAATCTAAAAAAAAAGTGAATATATGCAACACTACTGAACTTTACATATCAAGATAACAACTTTTATGTACATTTTTTAGTTTTTACAATTGTCCAGCAAGTGACAACCATCATCATTTGGAGCTGGGGGTGGAGTCCAACTTCATGGAGTGGAGCAAAGAGCTTACCAGTTCGTACCCCCAGGATAGGCAGTCCCAGGATGTCAACCTCCTGCATGGTTTGCAGGTGTCAAGAAAGACGGGTTGCCAAAAGGACAGGGTTCCCACAGGCACTGGACAAAGTAGCACTTGACATACACGAAGAAAAGACAGAGCAAGTCAGCTTCTATAGTGAGTGTGTCCACTTAGAATGAACGGCCAATGGGAAAAGTCTAACTCCTACCCAGCATTAGCACTATCCTTTT